TCATAATTTGAACATCTTGATTCATACTTGCTTCAAACTTGAATGTGCACAAATTAGATGTCACTAACAGGCGTCTTAGGAAAGTCGGTCAGTGCAAAAACATTCAGTTCCATCCAAAAATAGCAATTCATTCGGATAGTTGTAATATCATTCAGTAGAAACAGACCTATTAAAAAAAAATCACACAAGAAAACGTTTAAAAAGGAGATTAAGTGAATGTCCCTGAGTGCGTCGGTCATTCCTGATGGGCGGAGCTTAAAGCACCAGAGGGGCGTCGACCTCATTAGCATGCTGGTGGAACTTTGGCCCAATCAGCTTCTCGCTGAACCGCGGAGGCTCCGCCTCCTTCCGCCACTCGGCTACAGGATTGACGTACCACATGACCGCACCGGACGGATTAATAGACACCACAAACTCTGAGCTGTCCTTCATCTGAGGCAAGAGCTGCTCCGAAAACACGTCATACACCTGAGAGAGAGACATGCATAAATCACCTGCGATGGACCGGAGCTGCTGCTGCTGCTGGTGTGTGTGTGTGTTCATGGAGCTCACCTCATACACTCCAGTCTTGTAGCTTAGCTCCTTCAGAGACGTTGTGTAGCGATAAGGCATATCAGATCTCCTGCTGAAGAACACCAGAGCGCTGGATCCTTTAGCCAGGGGCCGCCAGAACACCTCGATCTGGCTCTTCTCCTGACAGAAACACAGCGAGAACCAGTGCAACAAAATATACCGATGACACTGAACTAATCAGTAACCTATAACTAGTCAATTATAAATATTAAAGCCATAAATAATCACAAAAAATGTAGAAATAAATGTAATAGTGTAACATAACATAATATTTCGCACATTTATAATAAAATTACTTTTTTACAATATATAAATTGGCACTTTAAACATGAAAACATGTAGCTGTGATAATAAATTAAATGAAACATGCTAAAAATTGACATTTAAAATAAATAATACAGTGACTAATTCTAACGATACAGTAATATAACAAGTAGAATTAAATGTAATCGTGTAAAATAACCCCATGATATTCTCCAAATAATATTTATATGACTTTTTCACAATATAAATTGGCGCTTTATCCATGAAAACATAATGCTGCAAAAATAAATTTATAAAAATTGTGAAATAAATCAGATTAAATTAATAAAAAATTCATTTAAAATAATTAAAATGACTTAATACAGTATATAACCCTAACAGCTACTATAGTGAATAGAAACAAATGTAATAATGTGAAATAATTAGGGCTGTCAGTTTAACGCGTTAGCTTAATTAATTAACAAAATAAAATATTTAACAAAATATGTAAATTTGAATAAACTGATGGAAAAATTGACTAAAACATTTAAATCAATAAATAATCCAGTACCTAATCCTAAAAATACTATAAGTAATATAGTAACTCCAAACAAATGCAATACCCTAACCCATATTTTCCAGATAACATGTTTATGATCAAAATTTTCACCATATAAATTGGGTTTTTAGAATTTCAGGATGGGGACGATCGTATTTGTTCCTTTAAAAGACTGAAAGATGTCTCACCTTGATCAGGCGTTTGCCCTGGATGCCCAAGCGGTCCTGACTGATGCCGATGGCGATCTTATTCTGTAGGATCGCGCGAGCGCCGCTGCTGATCGTACGCAGATCGTTAGACATGAAGAGGGGCGCGGCCATGATCGCCCACAGAGCCATCTGAGCACGTGATTGGTCCATGCTGAGGCCGAAGTCTCCAATGATCAGCTGAGGACGAGACGTACATATATTTCTGTCATGACAACTCTGCTGCGCTGCTGCAATACATCCACAACATGCTACTGTGAGCATGTAAGAAATACTGCTGCTGCACATATAGCATACATTAAATAACCCCCATATAGCGTACATGAATCACCTCGTAGCAGATCTATACAGGTGGAGCTGGGGAAGGTGGAGGGTTTCTGAAGCAACTGCTACGGCAAGCACTAGTCATATATAGACCTATCGGACTGCGCCATCTAGAGTTTCATGCCGGAACTCTGTATTTCCCTGAATATGCTCACCATGTCGGGGTCGTTCCACTGGCCAGGTCCGGCCGCGGGCTGCAGAACGTCCTGATTATCAAAGAACCAGTCGACGATGCTCAGCACACTGTCCCATGAGTCCTGGATATCAGCGTAGTTCCTCCACAGGTTACAGATCTGACCCAGCAGCGTGTAGTTCACCTGAGACACAACAAACTCAGCGCTAATGGACAATTAGACAAAAAGTTCATCAAGACAAACTTTAGGTTGCTTGATAAAGCCTAACCTGAAAGTTTAGAGCAGCTGTAAAAGCTTGAAGTTTGAAAAGTTAGGTAGCTTAGATGATTAGCATGTTGTTTATCATGTTTCTAGCATGATACTAGCATTATTAACATGTAGTTAGCGTGTTGCTAGCATTTTGATAGCATGGTTCGCATTTAGCATTATCAACATAAATTTAGCATTTTTCTAGCATGATTAACATGTTGTTAACACGATTAGCATGCAGTTCACATGTTGCTAATCATGATTAGCATGTACTGTAGTTAGCTTGTTGTTAGCATGTTGATAGGATGCTTCTAGTACAATTAACATTTTGTTAACATGAAGTTAGCATGTTTCTAGCATGATTAGCATGTTGTTAACAAGATTAACATGCAGTTAACATGTTGCTAATCATGTTTCTAGAGTGATTAGCATGTTGCTAGCATGATTAGCATGAAGTTAACATGTTTCTAGCATGATTAGCATGTTGTTAACACGATTAGCATGCAGTTCACATGTTTGCTAAACATGTTTCTAGCATGATTAGCATGTACTGTAGTTAGCTTGTTGTTAG